CATGAGTCTTTAGGAATTGTCTTAGATCATTGTATTGCTGAGAAGAGCCAATTTATCAAAGTTGATCATTCCACAATGTTGCTGTTATTGTGTACAATGTTCTCCTGGTTCTGTTCACTTCACTCTGCATCAGTTCATGTAAGTCTTTCCAGGTTTTTCCGAAATCCTCCTGCTCATCATTTCTTATAGCACAGTAGCATTTCATTATATTCGTATATCACTGTTTGTTCAGCCATACCCCAATTGATAGTTATCTCTCCAATTTCCAATTCTTTGCCATCACAAAAAGTACTGCTATAAATATTTTTGTGCATGTGGGTCCTTTTCCATTTTTTATGATCTCTTTGGGATACACACCTAGTAGTCCACCCATCCACTCTTAATGTCCTCAGAGCACTGTGGGGAACACTTTCAAGCCTTCCCTTTTATTTCTTATCATCTCCTCTCTGAACCTCACAAAGCAAAAGGAAAAAAAATTCTCAGGATGCCAAAATATAGGACAGCATTTCCAGAGACAACTTCCAAGGACAATCCCCTTCTCTGAAGAAATCTGAAGACTTCATGTTACTCCCACGGATATTAAGTCAATGCATGTTTGTGTTCTAAGGCATTCTAACCCTGCCTATGCCTCTTCCTTATGGGGAAGGAGAGCTAAGAGGAAACAGAAGGAGGACAAATCTACTGTAGGTGCCCTCTGGGAAATAATTTTCTCAAGGAATCTTAATCCCTTAGTCTGAAGAACCGGGATAAAGATTTTATTACTCAGAGATGCTGTGAGAAGAGACTGGTGAACAAGAAAACGTCATTTTTAAAAAATGATTAATGCTAAATGACTAGGAAAGTCCCTGAGTGGTCATGGCACTTAGGTAAGTCTGCTTATGTCAAGGTCAGCTCCAGGAGCACCACCTATCGGTGAACTCCCTGCGTTAAGGTCTTGCTCCAGAAAATTTGTCATTTGTTTGTGTGTTTGTTTGAATTTGTTTTGCTCTTTTGATTGGCTGGGGATATTTCATATGAAGGATTCATCGTGTGTTCCCAAACTCAGAGTACATGTAAGGACAAACTGTAGCAACAGGTGTTTCTAGTTTGACCTATGAGAAAGGCCATGAGGTCTTGGGTAGTTTCAGGAACCCAGGAGCTTCTAAAGCCCTAGAGAACTCTTCAGGCCAAAGTGAAGCAAGCCATCCCAGTAAAAACCATAAGGAGCTGTATATTTAATGAGACTCTGAACTTTAGTCTTCCTATTGGAAAAAAAATAGCATTAAGATTTGGAAACATTCTATGGCTCACTGGGAGTAAGGGATTAGAAATGCCAGCTGTCTCCTTCCGAAGTTAAACCATTCAAGGAAGGCAAGTTTGTGATGGGGGTGACACCAGTCTCAGCAGCGGTGGGGGTATCAGGGGTAGGCATGGCAATGGGGTCATCCACAACTGTGGTAATGGTGATTGCCGTGATGACAGAAATGTTGTCACTGGTCGGCGAGGGTCAAGGAGGTGGGTGGTATGGGTGGTGGTCATGGAGGCGGGAGCCGCACTAGTGTCAGTGACTGTTGCTGCTGTTGCTATTGTTGCTGATAATGGTAGTGATGGTGGGAGTCCCAGTGCTGCTGCCACTGGTGCTGGTGGAGGCTTTCCATGTCAGTAGTAGAGCAGCTGATGGTGACTGTGAGCTGGAAGTAATTGGGACAGCTGGACAGTTTGGCTTAGAAATGATGTTTGGTTATTACATTTTATGCAAATCTATATTTTCACTTAGGAAAGAAATGGAAGCAATCAATAAAAGTTTTAGTGAGTGGTTACCATGTCCAAGGAGCTCCATAAAGTGAATCTATACTCTATTTTCATTCTACCATCCCTGAAGAAAAATGCTTCCATTTATTTTATTTCTTTTTGGGGGGGGGGTGGCTGGGCAATGGGATTAAGTGACTTACCCAGGGTCACACAGCTAGTAAGTGTTATGTGTTTGAGGCCGGATTTGAACCCAGGTACTCCTGACTCCAGGGCAGGTGCTCTATCCACTGTGCCACCTAGTATTTTTATTTCTCTTAAACTTAGTAACCATTAATAAAAATGAAAAAAATCACAAAGTTACAAAAATCTGTCTTTATAGCTTATTTTAATGTGCATTGAGACTGAAATAATGGAAGGAGAGGCAGCCATGAACCCAAGGAGACTTGGGTTCACATCCCACTTCAGATATATACAGACAATGTGACCCTGGGCAGTCACTTTAATGTTTCAGCACTCTAAGCAATTCTCTAACATTGTAAGTTATAGACATGGTGCCAACCTGTATTGGTAGAAAGAGTTTTCTTATTCAAGAGTTCCTTATTGATGAAATGTGAGGTCCAGTGCCTAGTAATATACAAAATGTCCCAAAAGTCTTAGTGCTGTCTGAAGCTTCTTAAAGCACTAAGACTTTGAGGACACCTCTGTATTAGTTCTGACAAAATAATAGCAAAAGTGTCCTGTTTGTTTCCCCTTCCAAACTCTTCTTATTTTTTTTTCAGATTTTGTTGCCATCATTAATATTATTTATATGTATGGTGGGCATGAGTTGTTCTAGCCCCATTTTCTTCCTTCTGCATCCATTCATCAGTCTTCCTATATTTCTTTGATTATTTTATATTTGTCAGGTTTTATAAGGAAATGATGCCCTACTCACACACCACAATTTGTTCAGCCAACTCCCAAACACTGGGCGCATAGATTATTTCCAGTATTTTACTCATTTGAATAGTGCAATTTTAAATAATTTTTTTCTACAAATAGTTCTTTCTCTTCCTTTCCCTAACTACTACTCTGTGAGAGTAAGATAACTGGGTTAAAGGACATGAACAGTTTAATAATTGTTAGTGTACAGTGACAGATTGCTTCCCCAAAGAGTGTAGAGTTCCATCAGCACTATAAGAATGGGCCTATTTTATAGAGCAGGTAGATAGAGAGGTGTTTTGTATAGCATCTTTTCAAAGCATCCATACTAAAGATGAGGAATATGGATTTGCTGTAGGGTCTGGAAAAGGTAAATAAACAATGATTATTTCCTCAGATAGCATTTTGAACTTTTTAGAATACTTATTTGTTTAACATCAATACAGCTTTTGGGTTTTTGGTTTGGTTTTTTTTTTGAGGCAATTGGGGTTAAATAACTTGCCCAGGGTCACATAATAGTAAGTGTCTGAGGTCAATTTGAACTCTAGTCCTTCTCACTTCGGGGCCGATGTCAATATAGGTTTAATGAACCTAACATCAGTGGACCTAGATTTGAATCTTCATTCAATAGCCAATAAACATTAATTAAATACCTACTATGTGCCAGGCACCGTGCTAATTGCTAAGGATACACATAAGAAAAAAGAGACAGCCCCTGCCCTCAAGGAGCTTACAATCTAGTGGAGGAAGACTATACACAAAGAAGCTGGACAGCAGGGGAAAATGCAATGAGGACATGCTGTTCCTGGAGTTGAAACTAAGCAAACTTGCTGGTAGAAAATAAAGTTAGAAATTCTCAGCCCTCTGTAAAGGGTGACTTTGGGAGGAGTTCATTCTTGCTCTGCCCCTTCGGCTTTCCAGTCAAAGGGGAGATGGTACTGAGGAAGTGTTGAGTACCAAAGCTGAAGCAAATGGCTAACGATGAGATTTTTGGTGATAAGCTTATCCTGGGGGAAGCCCAAGCAGAGCCACATTTATCTGGTGTGTGACCTTGGGCAAATCACAATCTCCCAGAAGCCCAATTTTCTTCTTGGTAAAATGGGAATAATGACAGTTGCATCAGCCACCTCCCAAGGATATTCTGAGGACAATACCAATTTGTGACAAGTCATGCCTGCTGTCTACTGAAGGACTTGGAGACTTGGGGCTCTCTTGAGTTCAGGAGTTCTAAGCTGCAGTGGAGCTAAAGCAGAATGAGTAGCCATGCCAAGTCCTGCACCAATGTTGTGAATCCCAAGAGAGCAGACCGCCTAAGGAAGAGCAAACCAGCCCAGGTCAGGAACAGAGAGGGCACCAGTCAGTAGCACCTCTATGAACAGATGAATAACATTGCACTTCCAGTCTGGGTGACATAGGGAGACCCAATCTCAAAGCAAACAAACACCAATGTGAAAACTCTATTTTTTATTTATTTAATTAACCAATCAATTAATTAACTATTAACTCTGTTCATGTGAGAACAAAGAGTGGATCTTTGATTTTATTGGTGTAGGGAATTTTCAAATGAGTAAAATCTCACTATTAATGGAGATAAGCACTTTCCCTGCAATTTATAGTCTTACAGAGTTGCCTAGAACAGCAAGGGATTAATGGCTTGCCAAGAGCTACAATGACAGTATTCATCAGAAATGGGCTTTGAACCCAGGTTTTGTAGCTCTAAGACCAGCAATCTATCTGCTATGCCACACTGTCCCCCATTCACGAGTCATGATTATTACTGGAGTGTAACTGCATGCTAGGTGGCACAGTGGATAGAGCATAGGACTTTGAGTCTGGAGGACTTGAGTTTGAATGCAGCCTCAGATACTAAACTAAAGCTTTTATAAACCTTGAAGTGCTATATAAATGTTACTACTAGCATCATCATCATTGATAAGGTAGACTAGTCTAGGAACGTGACTTCTCGGATTTAGGATTCCTGTCTTATTTCTGACTTAGTTGGCCGCTTAAGTCTCAAACATAAATACAGAAAAATGGTAGCAATAGTATCAATCAATCAGCAAGGCAGCTGTGTCTTCTGACCAGCTCAAAGGTTTCTAGATTTAGAAACCTGTTGGAGTTGGAGGAGAACCTAGAAGTCTCATTCTACCCCCAACAGTTTAAAATAAGGAGTTGATTTTCCCAGGTCACAGGGCAAGTAGCAGAGAGGGAGCTAAGACTCAGGTCTCCTGACATCAAGCTTAATCCTCTTTCCACTACAAGGAACTCCCCAGTACTGACCTGCCAGTGTTGGTACTTCTCCATGCTGACTTCCTCAGTGTTGACTTCCTTAGTGGTGACCTCCGCAGTGCTGACCTCCCAGCACTGACTTCCCCAACGTTGACTTCTCTAGCACTGGCACTCCTCAATGCTGACCTCCCCAGTGCTGACCTCCTTAGAGCTGATCTCCCAGTACTGATCTCTCCAGTGCTAAGTCCAGCTTCAGTACTGAATGGTAGAAAGATAGTAGAAAGAAGACTGGATTTGGAGTTAGAAGATCTGGGTTCAAGTCCCAACCCTGACACTTCCTATCTGTGTGACCTTGGGTAAGTCACTTCCTTTCTCTGGTCCCCAGTTTCTTCATCTGTAAAATAAAGTGATTGGACTAGGTCACGTATAAGGTTCCTTTGAACGCTAACAGCTTAACCCCTCTGAGCCTCAGTTCCTCATGTTTAAAATATGGTGGGGATGGAGGGGGAGGCTAACAATAAATGTATAATTGTCTTACAAGGTCATTGTGCAGAAAACACTTTATAAATGTGAGTTTATAAGCCCTATGGAAATGTGAGTTATTATTACTCTTTTCACTACATTGACCTGGTTTTCATTTCATCTCATTTGTTCTTATATTCCTTATTAATACTATCTGCATTTTGTGGATTGGGAAAACTGAGGCCTGGAGAATTTAAATTACTTAGGCAAGACCACACATTCAGGGCAGCATGGAGACCATGTTTTCCCCCTCCCCACCCCATTGCCCAATACTTAACATCTGCAGTGTCATGAATGTACTGGACTTTTTCAAGACAACACACCCAGGATCTGCTGCAGAAGAGTAGGTCCCAAGATATGTAATTATTTCCTGTAAGTCTGGTAACTTCATTAGAGCTCTATATGACAATGCTCTGATGTCCAGAGACACTTTGTGAGGAAGAAGACAATCCCTAGATGACAGCAATGCTGGGTGGGTGGGCACAAGCAGAGGAAACAGACCACCTTTGCACATGTGAGCCAGCTCTCAGTGCCTTGTGCTGCTGAATGCGCGTATTTGCTCCTGTTTGTTAAATCTTGTCAAACAGGAAGCAGGTTTTTAAGTCAGGGGTGAAGGGGGGGGTCCCTGAGAGTTCAGACTTCTGCTTTCCAATGGTCTTACAAGATGCACAATTGGCACAGACTGACAGGAAATATTTAATTGGAATCGGAAGGCCCTGGCTCCATGGACCTTGTTTTATATTGTTGGTATACTCTTGCTGCAATGATTCCAGTGTACAAGCCTCAGTCTTCCATTTATTTATATCAACCAATGGGGGATAAAGCCAAGAGCTAGTCTGAAAGTTGGATTGGAGGAGGGAGTGAAGCTTGTTCCAGAGGAAAGAGGAGGAAATGCTCATAAAGGAATTGTGCATCTGAAGTAGAAAGGCTGAGAGTGAGCTAGGAGTGACATATTTATGAGCTGGTATGGGTTGCCTGTGCTGATAAGAACCAGTCATTAAAGGAAGGAAAAGTCACCTTCGTGTATATAAAATATACAAAATTCATAGTCTGGAAAGACTGGACAGGAAAACATTAGGTAAATAGAGGATATCCCATAAAGTATAATGTGAAAATTCAACTACCTTAGCAAGGAAGGTACTGATGCTTCTCTCTGGGTTAGCATGTGGAAAATGAACAATTCTTTTAATTCCAAGCAAAATGGTGAACTAAGGGCCAGTAGGTTGAAGTTTATCGCCAATTTCATACTTCTTACATGAATACTTCAAAGACCTATGATTCCACCAGTAAACCTACTTCTTCCCCTTACATGAATTGCAGACCCTCTGCGTTTTAAGAAGTGGTCTTCAAGTATTGCTGTGGGAAAAAAGAGATCAACCTGCAACCAACCTGGATTGATGACCCTCTCTGAAATTAATTAGCTTGGTCCTAGGAAAATAGAGACAGAGAGTTCATCATCAAGCATGTACTCCAAACCTTTCCAGCTTGGTAGAGCTTGGCAAAGCTTGCTAGTCATAACCATGAGAACCCAGAGCCTCAGCTAAGCCCTTAGGAAGAGGACTTCAGGAAGACAAGAGTGTATTGGAAATCAAACAATGATGGGGTAGGTTTTTCATTAACACCAGCAATTAATCATTTTTCCCTGGAGATAATCTAACCCTTACCTTGCAGAGTTGTTATAAGGATCAAGTGAGATAATATATGTAAAACACTTTGCAAACCTTAAAATGCCATATGGATGTTGGCTACTATTGTTATTACTTATACATATACCATGAATTTACTTGGTAGTTAATGTAACTGGTACTAAGTAGTTTTCAGAGGAAGAATTCTTTTTTTATTTAAATTTTTATTCATTTTGAACTTAAATACATGAAGACCATAAAAAGAACATTTCCATGTACATGCCAACCTAAAAAGAGGATTTACTATAAGACTTTAACTTTACATTTCACTCTGTTTACTTTAAAAGAACCATATAATAAGTACTGCTTGTCATTTTCAAAGCTACTCTGCTTTCCATGCTTGTTTCTACATTTTCTTTTATTCTCTGCTGTATATTTTTTATATTTTTTAATGTCCCTTCGACCCACCCAAAAGATGGCTACTATTTGACACAAATACATATATATGTATGTGTGTGTGTGTGTGTGTGTGTGTGTGTATATATATATATATGTACGTATGTGTATATGTATATGCATGTAAAACCATGCTATACGTAACTTCTATTTATCAGTTCTTTCCCTGGAGGCAGATGGCGTCTTCCTTCATATGTCCTTTGTAGTTAATTTGGGTACTTATAATAGTCAAAATGAACTAGTTGCTCAAAGTTGTTCTTAAAATAATATTGCTGTTACCATATGCAGTGCTCTCTTTGTTCTGCTCATTTTGCTTTTTTATTATTTCATGCAAGTCTTTCTATACCACAGCAGTATTCCATCACAATCACATACCACAACTTGTTTAGCCATCCCCCAATTGACAGGGATCCCTGCAATTTCCAGTTCTTTGCCACCATAGAGTGGGAGAATTCTTAATAAAGGAATACTGATTGCAAAATATAAAATAGTCCATTTAGATTATATAAAATTAAAAAGTTCTTGCAGAAATTGATGCAATTTGGAAAGAAACAAAGCTGCTGATTGTTGGGGGAGAGCTCATGGAATCATTGCATCAAGTACTCTGATAAAAATCCATTATCCAAGATATATAGGGAATTGACACAAATATATATGACCAGAGGCCATTCCCCAGTAGATAAATGGTAAAATGATATGAATAATTTTCAGAAAAGGAATGTAAGTGATAAACAATTGTATGAAAAAATGTTCCGTGTCATGAAGAAGAGAAATGTAAATTAAAACAACTCAGTTGTTTAACTTACAGTGAAGTTCCATTTTATAGCCAACAAATTGGCAAAGAGGCTAAAATGTCATTGTTGGCGAAGCTATAAATAGGTCCGAGTCTTCTGGTACATGATTTGAAATTATGTAAGAAAATGACTTTAAAAATCGAGATTCTTTGACCCCCAGATACTTATGGGGCAATGACCAAAAGAAAAGTCCTCTATATAACAAAAAACTTACAGCAATATATTTTTCTGGTAACAAAATACTTGAAAGGAAAGGATACCCATTGATTAGAGAATTACTGAACAAATTGTGACTAATGAATGCAACTGAATATTATTTTGCCATAGGAAATAACAAATACAAGAATTTCAAAGAAACATGTAGGAAAATGATGCAGAGAGAAAAAAAATAGAGCCAGGAAACTGTACATACAGTGCCTATATCATTATAAATAATGATGCAAAGGGTATCAAACTCTGGCTAATTGGGAAAAAAGAAAAGAACCTTTATGTTCTAAAATACTTATAGCAACTCTTGTTGTGGTGGTAAAGAACTGGAAATTGAGGGGATGCCCATCAATTGGGAAATGGCTGAATAAGCTGTGTTATGTGATTGTGATGAAATACTACTATGTGAAGAAAAATGATGAGCAGCTTGATTTTAGAAAAAACATGAAAAGACTTGCATGAAGTAATGAAGAGTGAAATGAGCAGAACCAAGAGAATGTTGTATACAGTAACAACAATCTTGTTTGAAGAGTAATTGTGAATGACTAAGCTATTCTGAGTGATATGAATATTCAAATCAACCATGAGGCCCTATGAAGAAAGATTCTATCCACCTCCAGAGAAAGAACTGATACATAGAAGTGTGTGTTGCATGGTTACACATATATATCTATGTCAAATGTTGGCCTTCTCTACTACAGGATTGGGAGGGAGGGAGACGGCTCAGAACTCATAATGCAACACCCCTAAAAAAAATTAAATAAAAAAAAATCTCTAATTGTATTGAACAAGCTCAGTATCAGTTAACTGATGATGAAACATACATCCCCACACTCAGTAGAGAGGTGGGGGACTAAGGATGAGGAATGTTGTATGTATTATCTGATATACCTTCATCATTGCTTTGTTTTCTTTAAATGTTTTTCTTTGTCACAAGGAGAGGCTCAATTGAGAGGGTGGGGATAAAGGACAAATGACTGTCTTGCATACAATAGGGAAAAATAAAACTAGTGGATAGACAGCTAGACTTAGAGTCAGGAAGACGGAGTTCAAACCCCCATTCAGAAACTTAGTAACTGACTAGTAACTGATCCTGGGCAATTGCTTGGTCCTCAGTATCCTAATCTGTAAATTAGGTGGCAGAACTACTCTAAGCTACCTTCCAGCTCTAAGTCTGGGATCTTACAATCCATCATCTCCCAAACTGGTACTCTCCCTATAAGAAAGGGTGAGTTTTCTCATCCTCCCTTTCCAACGCCACCACCCCCCACCATCCCCTTCACCTCCTACCCATCTCAGGTAGGACTTTTGATAAGCTTGTCTCTACTGGAAGTCAATCTTTGCATATCTTAAGACGCACCCTCCCAAGAAGTCCATTCAATTCCATAATCTAGTAACTCCCCCCACTCTCAATGTCATTTTGCCCCACTGGTATGTTGCAATGGTAGATTACTTCAACAGCGGACACTAGCAAGACAGTCCCTCTAGCCTATGACCTACTGATGTATTTTTTAGACATAACGTATCAACCCACAAACATGAATAAGTGCCCACCTTGTTGTAGGCATGCGCTAGGAACTAGTGATACAAATAGAAAAATGGAGCTCATCTCTGCTCTCAAGGATCGTGATACTGTAGGTACTTGCTTAGACTGTATTTTCAGTGTCTCTTGCCATATTGCTGAGAGTAGTTGACTATATGCAATGTAAACGTGGGAGGAAAAGACCAGGTTTCTCAAAGTTTCACTTATAGACCTGTCATAACTTCTCCTTTCTGTGCTTTCTGACCATGTAAAATGAGTGTTTGAGATTTGGGTTACAATGTGTACAACTCCATTGAAAGAAACTGTACTGGAAGACAAAAGATGTGGGCCATTAAACCTCTCAGATTCAATTTCCCATAAAATGGAAATTTATATATGTATGTATGTATGTATGTGTATATATATATATATGTATATATATGTATGTGTGTGTACATATATATACATATATACATACACACACACACACACACACACACACACACATATATATATATATATATATACTAACTTCCTCACAGGGTTGTTGTAAAGATCACAGGAGAGCACCACATTTCATTTGAAACCATAAAAAAATGTAAATGTGGATATCATAATTCCTTAGAATTCATAGGACCCCTAAATGTTAAAAGTGGAAGAGATTTAAAAGACCATTGAGTCCCACCCCCTCGATTGATAGGTAAGGAAACTGAGGCCCAGGAAAGTTAAGGGACTTGCTCAAAATCACACAGATAATAAATGGTAGATATTGTCGGTCTTCTGGATTCTGGTCCAGTGTTCTTTTGAGTTCTTCAGCAGATGCTTTGGGGTTTGGTTTTGAATCATAGCCTTTTCCCTTCTCAGGATAGTCACCTTAAATAAAATATGGTGCTTTCCACATTTCAATCCTGTGCAAGGCTGACGAGCCCACATCCTGAAATTTTAAAAAGTAACAAAAGAATGGTCCTTCTGCCAAAGGGAAAAAAAAAAAGGAAAGGGATTCTGTTTGGCTGCATTTGTGCAAACCAGGAATCAGGAGATTGTTGCTTTATTATTATCGTGAAGTAACACCATTGATAACTTTCCTAGACAAAAGAGGGAAGAAAGGGAACAGCAGGAAGGAGAGAAAGATCTTCCAGCCAGCCACAGATTACAAAATAGACTCCCTGCATTAATCAAGTGTTTTCTTCCTCCGTGTGGTAATCTCAAGTACATGACACAAGATAAACACAGGGCCATGCTCCATTAAATTTATGAAAGGATGTTGTTTATTTTTATCACATTTATTAGACTTGAAAGATATCCTCTAGTTCTCAAATCAACATCAGAGACCATGTTTATTTCTAGGAAGCTGAGTGGTTTAACAAATAATAAAACGCTGATCTTTCACCTCTTGAAATGCAGTCTAGTCTCATACTAGAGAGAGGAGAGTCCAAGTCCCTTTTTGTAATTGTGGTTCAGGGGGAGTTATTCTATGGTGGCATGTTGGGTGTTTCCAAATGCCCTGTCTGGTAGAGAAGGTCTGGATGAGATGAGGTGTGGTTTAGAATATGAGGGTAAAGGGAAGTAAAAGTCACTTCATGATGGGTCTGGTCACTTGCATAGTTTCTCCTAAGTTGGTCTGGGGCTTTGGAGACTTTGACTTATTCTTGAGTATCTATCAGTTGTTCCACTAAGTTGTAGCCCACTGTCCATAATTGAATCAAGATGACAGATCACAGAGTTTCAAATTTGGGAGAAACCATTTTAGCCAACTCATATCCAAAAAAGGAATTCCTGACATACTTGATATGTGATCATTTATTCCAGCAGAGCTCCAAAAAGGGGGAATCCATTACCTCCAGTGGCAGTCCATTCTACTTTTGGATAGCTCTGATTGTTAAGAAGTTTTTTCTACATCAAGCCTAAATTTTCATCTTCCACCCATTTATTGCTTCTGGTTCTGCTGTCCAGGTACCATCAATAATGGTTGTGTAAGAGAGGTGCAAGAATTCTCTCA